TTTTATTTATTTGTCAGAGAGGGAGAGAGAGCGAGTGAGCACAGGCAGACAGAATGGCAGGCAGAGGCAGAGGGAGAAGCAGGCTCCCCGCCGAGCAAGGAGCCCGATGTGGGACTCGATCCCAGGATGCTAGGATCATGACCTGAGCCAAAGGCAGCTGCTTAACCAACTGAGCCACCCAGGCGTCCCAGGACACTATTTTAACGGGTCTATCCACCAAGAAGATCTAACCACTATAAACATTTATGCCCCCAATATGGACACAAACAAATACATAAGCCAACTGTTAATCAAAATAAAGAGTCGTATTGATAAGAATACATTATTGTAGGGGATCTTAATGCACCACTCTCAGCAATAGACAGATCATCCAAGCAGAAAATCAGCAAAGAAAAAAGAACTTTGAATTACACACTGGACCAGATGGACCAGAACATTCCACCCTAAAACAACAGAATACTCATTCTTCTCAAGCACACATGAAACTTTCTCCAGAATAGACCACATACTAGGTCACAAATCAGGGCTCAACTGATACCAAAAGATTGAGATTATTCCCTGCATATTCTTAGACCACAGTGTTTTGAAACTGGAATCTCAACCACAAGAAAAAGATTAGAAGGAATCCAAACACTTGGAAGCTAAAGACCATCCTGCCCAAGACTGTTCAGAACAACCAGGAAATCAAAGAACTTAAACAATTCATGGAAACCAATGAGAATGAAGACACATACGTCCAAAACCTATGAGATATGGCAAAAGAGGTCCTAAGGGGGAAATACATAGCCATCCAAGCCTCACTCAAAAAAATGGAAAAATCCTGAATACACCAACTCTCTTTACACTTTAAAGAACTGGAAAATCAACAACAAATTAAGCCAACCCTACACACAAAAGATTAGAGCAGAGATCAATGAGTTAGAAACTAGAGATACAGTAGAACACATCAACAAAACTAGAAGCTGGTTCTCTGAAAGATTTAATAAGATTGATAAACCACTGGCCAAACAAATCCAAAAGAAAAGAGAGAGGACCCAAGTTAATAAAATTATGGATGAAAGGAGATAGATCACAGCTAACACCAAGGAAAGAGAAACAATCTTCAGAAATTACTATCAATAGTTATTTGCCAATAAGTTAAGCAACCTAGAAGAAATGGATGCATTTCTGGAAACACATAAACTTCCAAAACTGAAACAGGAAGAAATTGACAACCTGAATAGACCAATATCTAGTAACAATATTGAAGCAGTGATCAAAAACCTTTCAAAAAATAAAAATCCAGGACCTGAAGGATTCCCTGTGGAATTTTACCAAACATTCAAAGAAGAAATAATACCTATTCTCCTGAAGCTGTTTCAAAAATGGAAACGATAAGAAAACTTCCAGACTCTTTCTATGAAGCCAGCATTACCTTAATCCCCAAACCAGGCAAAGACCCCATCAAAAAGGAGAATTTCAGACCAATATCCCTGATGAATATGGATGTCAAGATCCTCAACAAGATCCTAGCTAATAGGATCCAACAGTACATTAATAATCATTATTAATTATAATTAATAATAATCATTACTATTAATTAATGATTATTATGGATTTGTTTGGCCATTACTATTAATTAATGATTATTATTAATTATAATTAATAATTAAATCATAACCAAATGGGATTCATCCCTGGGATGCAAGGGTGGCTCAGCATTTGCAAATCAATCAACGTGATGGAACAAATCAATAAGAGAAGAGAGAAGAACCACATGGTTCCCTCAATTTATTCAGAAAAAGCATTTGACAAAATACAGCATCCTTTCATGATTAAAACTCTTCAGAGTATAGGGATAGAGGAAATATTCCTCAACTTCATAAATCCATCTATGAAAAACCCACAATGAATATTATTCTTAATGAGGAAAAGATGAGAGCCTTCCCATTGAGATCAGGAAAATGACAAGGATGCCCACTCTCATCACTGTTGTTCAATATAGTACTAGAAGTTCTAGCAACAGCAATCAAACAACAAAAGGAAATAAAATGTATTTAAATTGGCAAAGAAGAAGTCGAACTTTCTCTCTTCACAATGACATGATACTTTATATGGAAAACCCAAAGGATTCCACCCCCAAATTACTAGAATTTATACAGCAATTCAGTAATGTGGCAGGATGCAAAATCAATAATCAGAAGTCAGTTCCCTTCCTATACACTAACAAAGAAACTATAGAAAGGGAAATTAGAGAATTGATTTCACTTACTATAGCACCAAAAACAATAAGATGCCTTGGAATAAACCTAACCAAAGAGGTAAAGGATCTGTACTCAAGAAACTATAGAACACTCATGAAAGAAACTGAAGAAGACACAAAGAGATGGAAAAACTTCCTTGCTCATGGGAAGAACAAACCTTGTTAAAATGTCTATTCTACCCAGAGCAATCTATACTTTTATGCCATCCTGATCAAAATACCTGATCAAAAATGGGAATTTTTCAAAGTGAAGGAGCAAACAATCCTAAAATTTGTATGGAACCAGAAAAGACCCTTAATCACTAAGGAAGTGTTGAAAAAGAAAAAACAAAGCTGGGGCATCATGTTGTCTGATATCAAGCTTTATTACAAAGCTGTGATCACCAAGACAACATAGTACTGGGACAAAAACAAACACATAGACCAAAGGAACAGAGTTGAGAGTCCAGATAAGGATCCACATCTCTATGGTCAAGTAATCTTTGACAAAGCAGAAAAATATATCCAGTGGAAAGAAGACAGCCTCTTCAATAAATGGTGCTAGGAAAATTAGGCAGCTTAGTATAGAAGAATAAAACTTGACCATTCTCTTACACCATACACAAAGGTAAACAAAATGAATGATAGAACTCAAATTGAGAGAGGAATCCATCAAAATCTTAGAGAAGAACATAGGCGGTAACTTCTTTGACATTGGCCACAGCAACTTCTCTCAAGACATGTCTCCAAAGGCAAAGGAAACAAAAGTGAAAATGAATTTTTGGGACTTCATCAAGATAAAAAGCTTCTGCACAGCAAAGGAAACAGTCAACAAAGCAAGAGCAGCCCATGGAATGGTAAAAGATATTTGCAAATGACACTGCAGACAAAGGGCTCATATATAAGGTCTACGAAGAACTCCTCAAACTCAACACCCCAAAACCAGATAATCGTGTCAAAAAATGGGCAGAAAACATGAACAGACACTTCTCCAAAGAAGACATACAAATGCCTAGCATACACATGAAAAATGTTCATCATTAGCCATCAGGAAGATTCAAATCAAAACCGCATTGAGGGGCACCTGGGTGGCTCAGTGGGTTAAGCCGCTGCCTTCGGCTCAGGTCATGATCTCAGGGTCCTGGGATCGAGTCCCGCATCGGGCTCTCTGCTCAGCAGGGAGCCTGCTTCCCTCTCTCTCTCTCTCTGCCTGCCTCTCCATCTACTTGTGATCTCTCTCTGTCAAATAAATAAATAAAATCTTTAAAAAAAAAAAAAACGCATTGAGATACCTCCTTACACCAGTTAGAATGGTCTAAATTAACAGAAGAGGAAACAACAAGTGTCGAAGAGTATGTTGAGAAAGGGTAACCGTCTTACACTGATGGTGAGAATGAAAGTTGGTGCAGCCTCTTTGGAAAACAGTGTGGAGATTCCTTATGAAATTAAAAATAGAGCTACCCTATGACCCTGCAATTGCACTACTGGGTTTTTACCCCAAAGATACAGATGTAGTGAAAAGAAGGGCCATATATACCCTGATGTTCATAGCAGCAATGTCCACAATAGCCAAACTGTGGAAAGAACCAATATGCCCTTCAATGGATGAGTGGATAAAGATATGGTTCATATATACAATGGAATATTATGCAGCCATCAGAAAGGATGAATACCCAACTTTTGTTATCAACATGGACGGGTCTGGAGGACGTTAGGCTAAGTAAACTAAGTCATTCAGAAAGAATCAATTATCATATGGTTTCACTTACTTGTGGAGCATTAGAAATAGCATGGAGGAGACTAGCAGAAGGAAATTAAAAGTGAATTGTGGGAAATTGGGGGGGGCGCAGGGAGAGGAACCATGAGAGATTGTGGACTCTGAGAAACAAACTGAGGGTTTGGGAGGGTAGGGGAGTTGGGGGATGCGTGAGCCTGATGGTAGGTAGTAAGGAGGGCACATATTGCATGGAGCACTGGGTGTGGTGCATAAAAAATGAATCTTGGAACACTGAAGAAATAAAATTAAATTTAAAAAAAGATACTATAGACTTTTTTAAGCAAATAGATGTGCTTTTTAAAATATTTTATTTATTTGTCAGAGAGGGAGCATGAACAAACAAGAGGAGCAGAGGACAGAGGGAGAAGCAAGTTCCCCGATGAGCAGGGAACATGATGTGGGATTCAATCCCTGGGATCATGACCTGAGCCAAAGGCAGATACTTAACCAACTGAGCCATCCAGGCATCCCACTACTATAGACCTTTAGTTGCTTTCTTGGTCTCCTACATTCAGTGCTTGTAAATGGACAAAAATGGATGGAATGAAATGGTATCAAAATTTTTCAATTGTTTAGAATCCCAACAGAAAGCTAAAGAAGTTTGCCAGATGTATTTTATGCAGCTGCGCTCTGGCCTTATCATAGAAAAGACGGCCTGTTATTTTAGGAAAGAAATCACCAAAAGGCATTCACCAAGAACAGGTAAGAGGAAACTACATTTCCTGATAGATCTTCAATATAGTAATGGGTTTCTCTCCGCCCTTATTTACCACATAGTGGATGTATAATTTTTTCCCTTGAGCAAATTTTCCTTCTGAAAAAAAGTAAGGATGCTGAATTACTTTCTAGCCATTTTCAAAAGGACATATAAAACTTTTTATAGCATGGGAGAAATGGTATTGTTACAATATTAAGTGAAAACAGATGATATAAAAATTATAAATATGTTTACAGTATTTTAAGTTTTTTTTATTTAAAGGAATTAAACTAAAATGTTAATAGCAGGTTTTTGGGTGTTGATTCCATGAGTAACTAGTTTTCTTCCACCTAGGCTCCAACGGGTATGCCCTACTGGGGTATAAGTGTGTCAGGAGGTATTGATCCTTCAAACTATAGGGCAGCTAAAGCCCTAGGATCAGTCCCAGCAATCAGCTTTGACTGGGAATCCTCAAAGAAGAGTAAAGAAGTTTGGGCAGAGTGGGTACTGACAGTCCACTCCTACTCTCTCCCTGTCCTACAGGTGGAAAGTACAAAGAGCAACGTCTGGTATTCACTGCTTGTCATCAGCAGCTAAAGGAAGACTTTGACTGTGATGTACCTAGGGCCCAGAAATGTTTTAGGGCAACTAATTTTCCAAGTATCCAAGGTATGCCTGGTGCTGAGGGTGGTGTGGGTGTGAGGAGGGAGGAAAGACACAGGACCAGGGCCACTCTAGGAAGCAGCTCCAAGTCAATGCCTACCTGTGTAACAGAAACTTCTGTCCATTTGCAGCCCACAAATCTATTCAGTGGTATTCAAACTAGGTACAGAGTAGCTGCTCTAACAATGAATGTACACTTTATAGTTAGCCCTCCATTATTATTTTGAAGTACTTGTTATGAATTGGAATCCCATATCATTATTCCTGGGGAAAATAAGTTATCCTTTGGGGAAAAAATCCCCACATTCCCCTCCCCCAAATTCCAACAATGACAATGAAAGAAAATTAAGAACTATTATATTTTTAAAATATAATTTCAACTCCTAAAAATTTTAAATGTTTGTTCAAATGGATTTAAGTATCACCTACTCATGCAAATAAAGTCCAAATTGATGGTGACCATCAAGAAGTGAAGAGATCATTATGAAAATTTGACCAGGAGTTGCATGTTGCCATTTCAAGCATAATCCTGATATAAATGTCTTTAAGTTCCCAGAAGCATACTGAAGTTTCTCATTCATTATCTTTTTTATAAATTTTTTTATTTTTTCTATTTCTTTTCAGTGTTCCAGAATTCATTGTTTATGCACCACACCCAGTGTTCCATGCAGTACATACCCTCCATAATAACCACCACCAGGCTCACCCAACTTCCCACCCCCACTCCCCTCCAAAACCATCAGTTTGCTTCTCAGAGTCCACAGTCTCTCATAGTTCATCTACCCCCTCCAATTTCCCCCAACTCCCTTCTCTCCATCTCCCCATGTCCTCCATGTTATTCCTTATGCTCCACAAATAAGTGAAACCATATGATAATTGACTCTGCTTGACTTATTTCACTCAGCATAATCTCTTCCAGTCCCGTCCATGTTGCTACAAAAGTTGGGTATTCATCCTTTCTGATGGAGGCATAATACTCCATAGTATATATGGACCATATCTTCTTTACCCATTCATCTGTTGAAGGGCATCTTGGTTCTTTCCACAGTTTGGTGACTGTGGCCATTGCTGCTATGAACATTGGGATACAGATGGCCCTTCTTGTCATACATCTGTATCTTTGGGGTAAATACCTAGCAGTGCAATTGCAGGGTCATAGGGAATCTCTATATTTAATTTCTTAAGGAATCTCCACACTGTTTTCCAAAGTGGCTGCACCAACTTGAATTCCCACCAACATTCTCCCACACATGTTATTTACTGTTTTGTTAATTTTGACCATTCTAACTGGTATAGTGGTATCTCAATGTGGTTTTATTTGAATCTCCCTGATGGCTAGTGATGATGAACATCTTTTCATGTGTCTGTTGGTCATTTGTATGTCTCCTCTGGAGAAGTGTCTGTTCATGTTTTCTGCCCTTTTTTGACATGATTATCTGTTTTGTGTGTGTTGAGTTTGAGGAGTTCTTTATAGATCTTGGATATCAGCCCTTTGTCTGTACTGTCATTTGTGAATATCTTCTCCCATTCCGTTGGTTGCCTCTTTGTTTTCTTGACTGCTTCCTTTGCTGTGCAGAAGCTTTTGACCTTGACGAAGTCCCAAAAGTTCATTTTCACTTTTGTTTCCTTTGCCTTTGGAGACACATCTTTAAAGAAGTTGCTGTGGCTGTCAAAGAAGTTACTGCCTATGTTCTCCTCTAGGATTCTGATGGATTCCTGCCTCATGTTGATGTCTTTTATCCATTTTCAGTTTATCCTTGTATATGGTGTAATAGAATGGTTGAGTTTCATTCTTGTACATATAGCTGTCCAATTTTCCCAGCACCATTTATTGAAGAGACTGTCTTTTTTCCACTGTATATTTTTTCCTGCTTTGTTGAAGATTATTTGACCACAGAGTTGAGGGTCCATATCTGGGCTCTCTACCCTGTTCCACTGGTCTATGTGTCTGTTTTTGTGCCAGTACCATGCTATCTTGGTGATCACAGCTTTGTAGTAAAGCTTAAAATCAGGCAACATAATGACCCCAGTTTTAAATCATTTTATTTCAGAAGTTCATGTACAGACTCAATATTTAACATTCTCCTGTTTTGCACATTATTTTTCTTGGCACAATGCTATAACATAAAGAAAACATAATATTTTTTTTCTCAAGACCAACATAAATGATCCCTAATTCTACACCAGTTTACACCAGCATGCCATAGAAATACTTTCATTTTCTATGTGTGCTGGGACATTTTTTTTTAAGTTGGGAATACTGTTCTAAGTGTCTCTGCTATTTAGCCAGAGGACAGAATGGTACTCACACTCTCCAGGATTGTTGGAAGTCTTTGAATAACTCCACACCTTACAGATTGGTATCCATTTAACCATGTCTATCAAAATACAGTCTCCTTGTCCACAGTCCCCATGACCATAAGAAACAAGGAAACAGAGGTGTCTTTAGGCAAAGTCTGTCACTTTTCCAGCTTCTTTCTTTCCACCAAATCCTCCCCTAAACACACTAACATGACCTCCTATGGTTTTCAACCAAGAGACTAGCATCTCTAATCCCATTCAAGTGGTACACCTTACCCTTTGAGCTACATTAAGCTTGCACCCAACTTTTGTATCAACATGAACAGGACTAGAAGAGACTATGCTGAGTGAAATAAGTCAAGCAGAGAGAGTCAATTATCGTATGGTTTCACTTATTTGTGGAGCATAAGAAATAACACAGAGGACATGGTAGAAGGAGAGGAGAAGGGAGTTGAGGGAAATTGGAGGGCGAGATGAATCCTAAGAGACTATGGACTCTGAAAAACAATATGAGCATTTTGAAGGGGCGGTGGGTGGGAGGATGGGGGAGCCTGGTGGTGGGTATTATGGAGGGCACGTATGCATGGAGCACTGGGTGTGGTGCATAAACAGTGAATTCTGTTCACTGAAAAGAAATAAAATAAAATTAAATAAAATAAAGATCTTGCACCAAAGGCTTTTATCTATCCAATGGTGGTGGGCAAAGTGCAGCTCAAATTGAAAAGAAAAACAAAAATCAAAAACCTTTAAGGAAGCATTTCCTTTTGATTGCTGAAAGATTGTTCATGGGAACAAGTGTGTTTGAATTTTTAATGACAAACTTTTCACTTTTTACAGAACATTCTGCTTCCCTGAGCACATACAATGATCAATCTATTACTTTCGTTTTTGAGGATGGAGGTTATGAGATCTATGTAGAAGACTTGAGAAAAGACCAAGAGAAAGGTAGAATATTTCTTTTGTCTATAATGATATAATGATGACTAGTAAAGTAAAAAATAAATTTACCAAGGGGTGCCTGGATTGCTCAGACAGTTAAGTGTTCAAACCTTGATTTCAGCTCAGGTCATTGATCTCAGGGTCTTGAGATCAAGCCCCATATCAGGCTCTCACTAGGTGTGAAGCCTAATTAAGATTCTTTCTCTCCTTCTCCTCCTGCTCTTGCCCCTCCAACTCCACCTCCCCCTAATAATAATAATAATAATAATAATAAATTTACCAAACCATAAACAGTGGACTACTTCAGACATAGCGAATAAATTCCATGCTGTGTGCTAACTCCAATGCATTGGCAGCAGGTGCCTAAATACACTAAGTTGAGGAGAATTTAGAAGCTTTTAGGCCTTTCTTAAAATCACAAAAGTTTTGCTTTTATTGATATGTAACAAAAGAGGATATTTTCTGCTGTTAGGTATATGTTGAAATTGAAATCTTTTGATAAAATTGTATCTCACCAAAAGGATTTTATGCATTCTCTTTCAGATAAGGTGCTATTCCGTTATTATGATTTCCAATCCCCCGCTCATGGAACAGGTAATTTGGAGGGCTGGGCAGTTGTAGTGCTTTCATTCTTGAATTTGGGGGTAAGGACAAATCCAAAAATGCTCCATGAAAAAGACAGTCTCAGAAGGTTCTCTCCAGCCCACACTCATGGCAAAATCTTAGATTCTTACAGGATTTATTCCACCCATCCATTGCAGAATAATAGTGGCTTAAGCTACACAAAACTTTATTTTTATCTTAGCCAGGGCTGGAATAACAGCTCTGTTCAACAAGTTGTACAAGGACCAAGCTCCTTCTCTGTGACTCTGCCAACATCTACATGGTTCAAGATTACTTGCTACCATGACAATGCCCAATCAGCAGGACAAAGGAAGACATGACACATGAATTCTCTTTCCCTTTAAGGACAAAACTTTAAGTTGTAACTGACACTTCCATTCACCTCATATTTGTCAAAACTTAGTCACATTGCTACACTTTATTATAAGAAAACAGACTGGGAAATATTCTATTACACAAGGAGGGTAGTTGGATATTGGGAAACAACTATCAGTGGCTTTGCATGCAGATAGGGAAGCTGACACCCAGACAAATACCCAATAGAGTCACAATTCTACAATTAGAAAGCAAATAAGGAAACTAAGGAGCTTAAAATTACCCCCAAATAATGGGGTGATTTTACTAAGTTTAATTTAATTTAATGGGGTAATTTTGCTAATTTTACTAAATGGGGTAATAACTAAGGAGCTTAAAATTACCCCAAATTGTCCAATAACTCTTTAGGAAATTAAACTTAATCCATATTGTCCAATGATTCTTTAGTTTCACTTGGGTACAAATACTTCTAAAAGACATGTAGGTTAATGAAACAATTATTTTACATCATATCTTGGACTCTTTTCCTATGTGTTAAATTCATTTAAATTAAAATGAGCTAAATTCTTAACTTTATAATTTAGATTTTTCCATTTTTTATTACTTTTTAAATTTACTTTTTTTTTAATTGTAAGGTGATGGTGTTGATGGCCAGACATTATTGGTAAACCTGAGCCCTACAAAAGACAAAGACTTTTTGCTGCATGCCAACAACAAGGAACACTCTGTGGAGGTAAAAGAAATATGCACTTAACTGTCATAACTAACTCCACTCACTTGTGCAGATTTGGGTGTCTAGCATATTTCAAAGAAGTTTTGCTTCTGCTATTGTACCTAAGACACAATCAGTTACTGCTAATAACTTGCTTCTGGAGTAGGAAAGGGAGATAAATGGCATGTATAGCCTTGCTACAGAAAGTCTGTTCTCTGCCAGCAGTGCACCTGGGAGTGTTAGCTATGCAGAACTTCAGGTTTCCTCACAATTAAAGCAGAATCATAATTTTAACAAATCTCCAGGAGATTCATAAGCACATTGAAGTTTGAGAAGCACTGTTATATACAATGATCTCAAATCCTTTCCATTTTACTTTAGGAACTACTTTGTTCTTCCAAGAAGTGTTCCTGATAAAATACAGTTTTCTTAGGCAAATGTAAAAACCATTTTACACTCTGACCCTGCTAAAGGAAAAGTCATATGCCAAGATTTATGTTACAATGTTGTTACAAAAAAATGTAAATGGCAGTATAATATAGGTCATGGTGAAAATTTATAAACCTCTTCAGGAACAAACAAGCCAAAGATAGAGACCAGAAAGAAAACATAAAGAGTATAATATAGATGACAAATGACATAAATACAAAATTATGAATCTAACATACCGTCATATAAGGTATTATCATAAACACTGGATGGTAACCAGCATCTTTCTTAACAAACATTCCTAAATGTATATAACAGTGTTGGATGTATATAACTACTCAGTGATAAGAGCTGACCCCATACAGAGCTCTGTTACATGCCAAATACTGTGCTAAATGTTTTACAAGCAGTCTCCTTTAGTTATTGCAGTAATTCCATAATAGAGTTGTTTTATTAGTCAAATATTACTACAATACAAACCATCCCTAACACTTATTGGCCTAAAATAATAATCACTTACATCATTCACATATGTGCTGGTAAGTTGTTGGTTGACAACAGAAAACTGATTAGACTAAAAAATTGAGGTTTGAGAAGTAAAGCAATGTGCACACGTCTCAGAGATAGTACATGGCAAAAGTTAGGCACAAATCCTGAGCTGCTGCATCCAAATCCAGTCACTCTAAGCTATGTTTCTCAACTATCAATGAATCAAATCAGACACCCCCCCCACTTTAGCCCTCTACCCATTTCTTCCTACTACACCCGCCACTCCCATCCCCTACTTAGTAAGCATCCTTGCTAGAAATACTAGTTATAATTATTCCCTTTTAGTTTCTATTGCAGGGAGGTAAGGTTGACTTTGGACTTCCCACTTACATGCTGGTTGCTTGCTTTCTTTTTTCCTCAGCTACAAAAATGTGAAAACCAATTGCCAGACCAGGCCTTCTTCCGCCTTCATAGGAAGTCTTCTAAATGTGTTTCTTTTGAATGTAAGAATAATCCTGGAGTGTTTATAGGAGTAAAGGATAACCACCTTGCTCTAATTAAAGTAGGGGACCCATCTGAGGATTCAAAGAGTATAGAGAATACCATATTTAAGCTTTCTTAAACTTCATGTGATGAAAAGCTGTGGAGCCTGGGTTGGGTAACCCAAATAGCCAGTGCTGGAGAAATGTTGAGAGATAAAGAAAGAGCCAGACAATGTTTAAGGGAAATGAAGGATACTTAGTATGCTATGGAATATTTTTCTTATTATTTGTAAAAATATGTTTATAATATATTCTGTCTGTTTTTTACTACCCTTTGTCTCACTACATATTCAAACATGTATTGTTACATAGACCTCAGAAAATATACAACCTGACTTCTACTTTTTTCTACTTTCAGCCCAGAAAGCTTGATATTTAGAGCTGATATCTTTGGGGAGAAGCAAGGGCCTTAATCCAAGTTTCATTTTAGACAGGGATCCATTTTAAAAAGCTACATAGAGACATAATTTTCCCTGTCCAAACAACAAATTCAAACCTTAGAGCTGTTGGTGAAAAGACAATCAGATCTACTTAGACTGACCATTTCACAAATGGAATAAAACACCAAATTTGTTTGAAGATGCCCAAAACCAGGACACCTGCTTGGCTCAGCTGGTTAAGCTGATGCCTTTGGCTTAAGTCATGAACCCAGGGTCCTGGGATCAAGTCCTGCTTCAGACTCCCTGCTCAGCCAGGAGCCTGCTTCTCGCTTTGCCTGCCACTCCCCCTGCTTATGCGTTCACTCTCTCGCGCTCTCTCTCTCCCTTTCTGACAAATAAATAAATAAATAAAATCTTTAAAAAAAAATGCCCAAAACTTCAGACACATTGATAGGTAGGCAGATAATATGAGAAAAGAGAAAGGTAGTTGGAAAATTAGTTATTTGTAAAGTAATCTAGTATTTGTAAAGTAAATAATTTTACATCTAATTATTTCATTTTAAAAATGCTGATTCTTATAGAATGAGGTAAATTTAGCAGGGCATTCTTTTTTTTTTAATCATTTTTTTTTAATTTGTTTTCAGCATAACAGTATTCATTGCTTTTGTACCACACGCAGTGCTCCATGCAATCCGTTCCCTCTCTAATACAAAGTAAAATAAATTTTAGTTCAGACGTATAATTGAAATCTTTGGGAATATCTAACAAACTAAGTACCATGGTGAGGCCACAAGTCCGTTAGTCTACTAGCGCCTAGATGGGACACAGAATTAACATTACAATATCAATAACTGACTATTCCTTATGTTTGTGTTATACAATGTCCTTCTGACATTAAGCTCCAGGGACCTATGACCTGATATACATGTCACCTGGACAAAATTTCTTCTAATCCTTTCTTCCCATGTGTACAGTGTTTTCCTTGTCCAGCTTCCTGATTAGCCTGCCTACTATGGAATGTTTTATGACTTTTCTTCTTTCTTTTGACCAACTGTGCTCTTGATATACATTTTGTGACCCCTGAGCTTCATTCCATATTACCTAACCTCTGGATGGCAACATCTTTTTCTACTTTGTCTACCTGGTGTAGAATTTCACATAAGCGTAATGATGGCATTATTTTTTATTAAACACCTTTGCGTTTTACATTACTAAGGTAGTCAAATTTATACTTAACTATATAATAAAATTTTTCAACCACTAAAGCAATAAATTTTGCTTACTTTAAGGCTTCAAATTCTACTATAACTTTTTCATAGGTTTAATACTGACAATAAATGCTAAAACTAATAACAGTACCTATGAAGTACAACTTTTTCTGAAAGTGTAGGCTTTTAAATTTCTAATTTGTTGAGATTTATTGGATAAAATGCTGGCGGAACATAAGATTAAAAAGGCTAAGAATTACTGTGTGAAGGTAAACAACTGTAAACAACAATATATCTTTCATTACATTGTCAGTTTTATTATGGAGACAAAAATAAAGCAGAATATATATCATCTTTTCTGAAAAACACTAAGTGTTAATCATATGCAGCTGTATGATATACTTAATGTGATTGTTTTAAAATAACCTAATATATCTATTACATTGTTTAAGTTCTTGAATAAACTGTATTTTTAAAAAAGTGTGTGAGGCCGGGGCGCCTGGGTGGCTCAGTGGGTTAAGCCGCTGCCTTTGGCTCAGGTCATGATCTCAGAGTCCTGGGATCGAGCCCCGCATCGGGCTCTCTGCTCTCTAGGGGAGCCTGCTTCCTCCTCTCTCTCTGTCTGCCTCTCTGCCTGCTTGTGATCTCTCTGTCAAATAAATGGATAAAATCTTTAAAAAAAAAAAAAAAAGGTGTGTGAGGCCATAATGGTTTTATCATAAAATGACTATTCTGAAATTTTTTAAGTCAAAATAAGCATAGCTTAATCCACTAATGTTGCTATCTGGAGTAGGTCATTTGTCTGGTAATTCAAAGCTAAGTAAGAGGACAAGATGGCGGGGAAGTAGGAGGAGGCACCTTTTCAATCTGTACCCTAAAGTGAGCTGATTACCTACCAAAGAACTCCGATCACCCATGAAATCAGCCTGAGATCAGAATTATACACATCTGGATCTCTACAGGGGCAGAAGACACCAGTGGGCAGGTAAAGCGGAGTGGGAACATCGGACTGTTATCAGAAGATAAACAAAAGGGGGAGGGAGACACCAGAGGGAGACAGACTGGAAATTAATACCCCTAATATGAGAGTGCCCTGCATCTGGGGACCAGCATTAACTTGGAGACTGATTGAAAGCACTCCAAAAGAGCAAAGGATTGTGGGGGGAAAATTGTGGGAATCAGGGTGGCTAGGGACAGGGGCTTAAGTCCCCCAACCCAGGAAAGCCTCCCCTGGCACTGAGCCAGAGAGATTGCAGCGGAGAAACCAGGTCTTGGTCCCTGAACCGCCAGCACGCCTGAGATTGCGTAGGGTCTGGCTCCTGCGAGGGGCTGGAAGCCTCACCAGATGGCAGAACTCTGAGCCCTGCTACAGAGCCTGAGACACGCGCGCCCCTCACCCTCCCCTGAGAGAGGTGAGCAAAGGCCCACCTGGTGCTCTTAGACCCGCGCCATTGTTTCAGAGCCTGAGACACGAGCCCCAAACTCTCCCCTGAGAGAGTTGCGCGAAGCCCCAGCCTGGTGCTTTCGGACCTGTGCCCTGTTCTCAGACCTTGAGATGCGCATGCGACCCACAGCCTCCCCGAGAGAGGTGTGCGCAAGCTGGGTGCTCTTAGACCCAGAAAGACCAGGCACTCCCAGCCTGGGCCAGTGGGAAAATCTCAGTTTGCAATCGCTGCTTGGAACCTCTCCAGCGGTCTGGAGCTGCCCAGACAGCCGCCGCTGCCATGGTTTTGGGTACAAGCAGAAGATCCTGCGTTCCCAGGGACCGTGACTCGGAACCTGCTCTGCCAGTGGCCAAGGGGGAATTTATATGGGCTCTGCAACACCCACAGAAGAGCAGACTGAGGCTTCTCTCTGAGAGGGAGGTCAGGGTGCAGTTTGCTTTCCTCTAAACCTACAAAAACCATCAAAAGCTGTCAAGGCGAGAGAAAAAAAAAAAAAAAGGTGAACAAATATAAAAACCTCCAGAGAACAAAAGCCTGAAAAAACCAGTTTCCTCAGAGCCCACCCCCTTGAGGGGGGCAGGAGGATTTAACTCAGGGAACATCATTGACTGAAAACCCACGTGGCAGTCCCCTCCTCCAGAAAACCAACCAGGAAAGGAAAAAAAAAAAAAAAAGACTACAAGAGAACAACCACCACTACTTCATAGGACAACTTTTATTTTTAATTTGTTCCCACTATTCTGGCTCATTTTTTTTATATAGATAATTTTTTAACCTATTTACCATCACAGTGAGCTGTCCAGGACATCAAATTCCATAATAACCTTCTAACCTGAACTTTTTGATACATACACCTGTGTTTTCCTTTTGCATTTCTATTTTTTGAATTTTTTTAAATTTTAGTTTAGTTTAGTCTAGTTTATTCCTTTTTTATTTTTATTTTCTAATATTCATATAGAGTTAAACTTCAAAGTAATCCCCTTTCCCCAATCAATACAACTCTTATAGGTAAACCAATTTTTAATCCCCCTTTAGCCTAGGAAAGTTGAGTCCTTTAACAAAGATATCAAGATACATCCAGGAAGAATCAAAACAACCTTCCTTGCTCACACTGAGAATTTATAACCACACTCCCATCTTTTTCTTCCACCAGTGTTTCTGTGTTTTTGTGTTTGTCCTGATAGTATATAAATCTTACACTTAGGGTTCTTTTTGATGATGTTCTTCCTTTATTTGCTTATATATATATATTTTTTCTCTTGTCATATACTTTTATTAGCCTTTTTCTTTGTTTTTGTTTGTATACTTCATAAATCTTACCTTGGGGCCCATTTGGGCTGAACCTTCTCTTTTATCTTCCCTTTATTTCCTGTCTCTCTCTCTCTCTCCTTTTTTTTTTCTTTTTCTTTTCTTTTTTCTCTCATTTGGGTGGGGAATCCTGATTGCTCAGAAGCATTCCAGGGTGCACCTTGACTGCACCACGGTCGATACATCCAGCTATCTCTCACCAAAATGACTAGGAGGAGGAATGCCCAACAGAAGAAAAATACAGAGGATGGACCTTCTGCAACAGAGCTAACGGCTATCAACATAGACAATATGTTGGAAAGAGAATTCAGGCTAACAATTATCCAGGCAATAGCTAGGTTGGAGAAAGCCATGGAGGACCAAACGGAATTGATTAGGGCTGAGCTGAAAGCGACCAGACAGGATGTTCACAATGTTAGGGCAGAGCTAAAAGCTACTAGGGCTGAGGTTCACAATGCTCTCAATGAGCTCCAATCTAATCAAAATTCTCTCAAAGCTAGGGTAACTGAAAGAGAAGATAGAATTAGTGATCTGGAGGACAAACAGATAGAGAAAAAGGATCAAGAGGAAGCCTGGAACAAACAGCTTAGAAACCTTGAAAACAGAATCAGGGAAATAAATGACGCCATGAAACGTTCCAATGTCAGAATCATTGGAATCCCTGAAAGGGAGGAGAAAGAAAGAAGTCTAGAAGATATAGTGGAACAAGTTCTTCATGAAAATTTTCCCAATCTCGCGAATGGAACCAGCGTTCATGTACTAGAGGCCGAACGGTCTCCACCCAAGATTATAGATTCCAGAAAAACATCAAGGCACCTGAGAGTCAAATTGAGGAATCAGAATTGTAGGTATAATCTCTTGAAAGCCGCTAGGACAAAGAGCCTCCTTACTTACAGAGGAAAGCCCATCAGAATAACGTCAGACCTGTCCACAGAGACCTGGCAAGCCAGAAAGGGCTGGCAAGATATATTCGGGCACTAAATGAGAAGAACATGCAGCCAAGAATACTTTATCCAGCAAGACTGACATTCAAAATGGATGGAGAAATAAAGAGTTTTCAAGACCAGCAAGGCTTAAAAGACTATGCAACCACCAAGCCGACACTGCAGAAAATATTAAGAGGGGTTCTATAAAAGAGGAAAAATCCTAAAAATAGCATTGAACAGAAATATAGAGACAATCTACAGAAAGAAAGACTTCAAAGGTAACACGATTTCAATAAAAACGTATCTATCAATAATCACTCTCAATGTGAATGGCCTAAATGCGCCCATAAAACGGCACAGGG